ACCAGTTAATGTATCGATATCATGATCTTTCTATTCAATACACCAGTTAATGTATCGATATCATGATCTTTCTATTCAATACACCAGTTAATGTATCGATATCATGATCTTTCTATTCAATACACTAGTTAATGTATCGAAATCATAATCTTTCTATTCAATACTCCAGTTAATGTATCGATACCATGATCTTTCTATTCAATATACCTGTTACCTCAAATAGGCTTGTTTTAACTGCTTTGTTTCTTCACTAAAGCTCACAAAGTTCCTCAATTTGATACATTTAATTTACCCATTATTGTCTGACCCTCTTTCTAAAAATAGTTCTTTAATTGATGCACCTTATTAAAACATGTGTAATTAGCGAGGAAAAAATAAAAGAAAATTAGAAAATTATCGAAACCTGGAACTAATTATAAAAAGTTAATTTTAAAAAAATAATTCTCAAGGAAATAAAATCAAGTCGTTTAGAGACTTGGTTTCTTGATGAATAATTTAAACAAAGAAAATCATTAGCAATCAATGAAGCTAGCGGGCTGTAGGCTTGATGAAGTTTTTAATTGCTGATCGAAAAGGTTGTTGTGATTTTTGGTTGGTGTGTGGGGTTGCAGGTGTGTGGTGTGTGTGTGTGTGGGGGGAGGGCTGGGTGTGTATGTGAGGGGAATAAGGTGGTGTGGTTTTTGTGCGTCGGGTGACGAGTAGGTGATGTGTGTGAGTAAAAGTGGTGTGTGGGGGTGAGGGTGGATATGGAGTAGTGTGTGTGGGTGTATGTGGTGTGGGTGTGTGTGGTGTGTGTGGGGTGGGGGTGGCGATGGAGTAGTGTGTGTGGGTGTATGTGGTGGGGTGTGTGTGGTGTGTGTGGGGTGGGGGTGGAGATGGAGATGGAGTAGTGTGTGTGGGTGTAGGTGGTGTGGTGTGTGTGGGGTGTGGGTGAAGATGGTGTGGTGGGTGTGTGTGTGTGGTGTGTGTGGTGTGTGTGGGGTGGGGGTGGAGATGGAGTAGTGTGTGTGGGTGTATGTGGTGTGGTGTGTGTGGGGTGTGGGTGAAGATGGTGTAGTGTGTGTGGGTGTGTGTGGTGGGGTGGGGTGTGTGTGGGGTGGGGGTGGAGATGGAGATGGAGTAGTGTGTGTGGGTGTATGTGGTGTGGTGTGTGTGGGGTGTGGGTGAAGATGGTGTAGTGGGTGTGGGTGTATGTGGTGTGGTGTGGTGTGTGTGGGGTGTGGGTGAAGATGGTGTAGTGGGTGTGGGTGTGTGTGGTGTGGTGTGTGTGGTGTGTGTGGTGTGTGTGGGGTGGGGGTGGAGATGGAGTAGTGTGGGTGGGTGTAGGTGGTGTGGTTGTGCGGTTGTGGAAGTTGGGTGATATGTGCGTGTGAGGGGGGGGGGTAAACGTGGGATGGTGTGTGTAGTGAAGATGTGGTGGTGTGGTGTGTGGGAGAAGGTGGTGAGATAAAAGTGTGGTGGTGTATGTAAGTGGGGGGGTGTTGTAATTGAGACCCGGAAGTATATTTTGTGAAGGATTTCAGTTTTGTTAACTAAGCTTTAAGTAGCCTGGCTAGAGAAAGTAGAGGAAGTGAAATACAGGCAAGACTTGCTGTGTTGAGCTAAGGAACATTTTCAATTGAGAAATCACTAAGGAACATCGGGTTAAGTTCAAGTCTCTGTATAAACTACTTGGATCAATGCTACACAAAATGTTTTTGTCGAAATTTTTGCATAATTATCTGATTTATTTATTTTTTTATAAATCTACGCATGAATTCAAGAAAAAAATGTATTCACTGTTACAATGAAAAAAAATCAAATCATGATTTTAATAAAGCGGTAGTAACCCCCCCCCCCTCCCCCGTACACTTTCTAGTACATTCGTATAGAACAGTACGTGTTGGGAGAGTACTTCCGGTGGAATCGTTAAGTCATTAATCCAGTGTGGTTAAAAAAAATCTAAAGTTGGTCCACAGTAAGGACAGATGGAACCGATAAAATAGCCGTCTGCTTCTGATTCAGTGGCCCAGACCTCACTAGCAGAAGTGTGGGGGGAGGGGGGGGAGAGCACGTGACAGCGACACCGCCGCCCGACAGCGGCGATAATTCTTGCGGCGATATATGGCTCGTCGCTTCCGGTTTAGTCAAAGACTAGTCAGGCGATAGGACGGTGCCAGACTAGGCGAAAGTTGGTCAGTCACAGATGTTGGTCAGTCACAGATTCATATTGGTCAGTCACAGCTTTATGTTGGTAAGTCACAGTTTTATGTTGGTCAGTCAAAGATGGCCGAGGAATAAATAACTACACATACACACATACTAACACATACACACATAAAGTACCGCAAGTAGTGGATTTATTTTTAGATGGCCGAGGAATAAATAACTACACATACACACATACTAACCCATACACACATAAAGTACCGCAAGTATATACACACAGACATACTCATACATAAAACATGTGTAGCGTGGTAGATTTCTCCCCGTGACGACTTTAAAGCTGAATTTCTTTTATTGCAGAGCTTTTACTTTAGTTCCTATGTGAGCAGTGATGAAATGGTGTTGGTAGTGATGGGATAATGATGGTAGTGTTCATGTAGTGTTGGTAGTGATGAGATGGTGCTGGTAGTGTTGGGATGGTGCTAGTAATGATGAGGTAGTGTTAGTAGTGGTGAGGTAGTGTTGGTAGTGGTGAGGTAGTGTTGTTAGTGGTGAGGTAGTGTTGGTAGTGGTGAGGTAATGTTGGTAGTGGTGAGGTAGTGTTGGTTGTGGTGAGGTAGTGTTGGTAGTGGTGAGGTAGTGTTGGTAGTGGTGAGGTAGTGTTGGTAGTGGTAGGATGGTGTTGTTAGTGGTGAGGTAGTGTTGGTAGTGGTGAGGTAGTGTTGGTAGTGGTGAGGTAGTGTTGGTAGTGGTGAGGTAGTGTTGGTAGTGGTGAGGTAGTGTTGGTAGTGGTGAGGTAGTGTTGGTAGTGGTGAGGTAGTGTTGGTAGTGGTGAGGTAGTGTTGTTAGTGGTGAGGTAGTGTTGTTAGTGGTGAGGTAGTGTTGGTAGTGGTGAGGTAGTGGTAGGATGGTGTTGTTAGTGGTGAGGTAGTGTTGGTAGTGGTGAGGTAATGTTGGTAGTGGTGAGGTAGTGTTGGTAGTGGTGAGGTAGTGTTGGTAGTGGTGAGGTAGTGTTGGTAGTGGTGAGGTAGTGTTGGTAGTGGTAGGATGGTGTTGTTAGTGGTGAGGTAGTGTTGGTAGTGGTGAGGTAGTGTTGGTAGTGGTGAGGTAGTGAGGTAGTGTTGGTAGTGGTGAGGTAGTGTTGGTAGTGGTGAGGTAGTGTTGGTAGTGGTGAGGTAGTGTTGGTAGTGATAGGATGGTGTTGTTAGTGGTGAGGTAGTGTTGTTAGTGGTGAGGTAGTGTTGGTAGTGGTGAGGTAGTGTTGGTAGTGGTGAGGTAGTGTTGTTAGTGGTGAGGTAGTGTTGGTAGTGGTGAGATAGTGTTGGTAGTGGTGAGGTAGTGTTGGTAGTGGTGAGGTAGTGTTGGTAGTGGTGAGGTAGTGTTGGTAGTGGTGAGGTAGTGTTGGTAGTGGTGAGGTAGTGTTGGTAGTGGTGAGGTAGTGTTGGTAGTGGTGAGGTAGTGTTGGTAGTGGTAGGATGGTGTTGTTAGTGGTGAGGTAGTTTTGGTAGTGGTGAGGTAGTGTTGGTAGTGGTGAGGTAGTGTTGGTAGTGGTGAGGTAGTGTTGGTAGTGGTGAGGTAGTGTTGGTAGTGGTGAGGTAGTGTTGGTAGTGATAGGATGGTGTTGGTAGTGGTGAGGTAGTGTTGGTAGAGGTGAGGTAGTGTTGGTAGTGATGGGATGGTGTTGGTAGTGGTGAGGTAGTGTTGGTAGTTGTGAGGTAGTGTTGGTAGTGGTGAGGTAGTGTTGGTAGTGGTGAGGTAGTGTTGGTAGTGTTGGTAGTGATCACTCTATCAGATGAGATGGTATTCACTAATTATAAAAAAAAATTAGTTCGTGTTCATCACTAAAGATGACAGAGAGTAGTCATTTCGAGTGAAATTTATCGAAAGCTGCGTATTTTGGGTTTTAAACTATTTGTAGGATACTAAACTTGTCTTGATAAAATTTTTAGCTATGGAAGGAAGAAATAGATTCCTAATATTTTTTTTGGAGGCGTGGTCAAGCGTTAGAGCGCGCGACTGCTAAACCGAATGGCTCGAGTTCGAATCCCGGACCCGAGTGTTTAGGACGTCCCTGACTCCACCTAGTTTTTAAGCATACCTGACCTAACTTCAGATAAACCAAAATTGATGGGCATATTATCCCTTTATATTCCGAGGTCACTCAAACAGGAACTCTACTTCATTTGAGATTTGTGTCTTAACACTCCATTTTTATTATTTTAACTTGTTTTAAGAACTTAACTATCGGCTGACCATTATATTTTAGTTCCCAAATACTAAAGAGTTGAAAATAAATATTTACAAAAACATTTTTAATAACAAGCGTTTGAATTTAAACATTAACTTATATTATCTTCTTTAGCTATTATTGGAGAACTTGGGTCTCTAAAGTGTATCAAAACAAATATCCTGTGCGACCAACACCTTAGAACAGCTGTGAAAGACTAAAGAAAATGTATTCAATTATTTTAGCTTATTTTAAAGGTTGTTATTATTAGAAAGGTTTCTATTACGTTTTAATAAAATGTCGAATTTAAAAAAACTGCTCGCGAAGGGACAAAACCGACTAAATGTTATTAAAATATCGATTGTGAAAGTTACCTCCCTTTAAATAAAACATTTCTTTTTTAATAAACATTTTTTCCCCTAACCAGCTATCATATTTTCTGTTTTAAAATACTTGCTAAAATTTTAACTAAACTAATTATTTACTTTATTTACTAATTTATTTAATTTGCATCGACCTTAATGCACACCCATGTCATTAAATAAAAACATGCATCTATGAGCTCTAAACGTTACCGCAGTACTCAAACTAAACAATTCTTTTAACGCGAAACTCGAGTTTAAGATTTCAACAAACTTTATTGAAGCAACAGAGTTTATTTTTATTCTGGTACAATCCGATATCGACGCAGTCCTGACGCAAGTTGCGTCACAGGGGTTGTGACTCATCTGCTGCGTCACTAGGGCTGTGACTGGTACCAGTCCACGTACTCAGACACGCGGGTGTACACGCTAGGCATGTCACCTGTCACAAAATTTGTCACTTTTAGAATATAAGACTTTACACATTTATTACAGTCACCTGTCACAAGGTTTGTCACTTTTACGTCACAAGGTTTGTCACTTTTACAATATAAGACTTCACACACGTTAATTATACAGAACATGTCCTGTATTATATCACAAACTTTGTCACATAATACAGGACTTTACATTTAAGTTGATCGGTTCAAGAATAAAATGAAAAAAAGGGAATTTGAAAGAGTGAACGTAAAGTAAATTGGTTTGGTATTTGTCAATTACAGTTTCCGTTATCGTTATTTAAAACGCATGTCTTTCTTTGAGTTGAGAATATGTGTTTTTAATATTTGTGTAAGTTAAGAATTTGTTTTTTAATGTTTGTGAGATTTTAGTATATGTGTTTTTAATTTCTGTCTGAGTTTAGAATATGTGTTTTTAATGTTTGTGTGAGTCTGAACGCATATGTGTATGTGTTTGTATGAGTCTAGAACCTGTGTATGTGTGCGTCATGACGCCTGTAAGCAACTCACCACTGCAGGTACTGACTCCCCAGGAGGTGATACCTGCCAGGTACTCTAGCTGGGGGCCACACAACATGGGGCCGCCACTGTCACCGTTACAGGCACTGGGCCGACTTCCGGATGGCTCTGGGGGTCAAAGGTGACAATAACTTCACTTTTCATTTTTCAATGTTTACTTTTTTAACGTGAATACATACTTATATAGGGCTGGTAAGTAGGTAACCAACCAGTTCTTCGGCTCAATAAAACCTGCATGAGCCATAGAACTGGTTGGTGACCTACTTACCAGCCCTATTACGGTAAAGACATTATAATGTTGGACTGGAATAAAAATTGGACTAAAAATATTGCATTAGTGGACAGAAAAGTAAATTGGACGAACAGCTTGTTAGTTACATTAATTAGACAGTTTGAAAATTAAGTTAATATAAGTAAATAATTTTTCGAATATGTATTTGGGAATCTACCCCATCTCCTTCCCATTATTCTCACCTTACTAGTTACGGACCTTCAGAGTTGAGGACCCCTCTCCCACCACCCCCCCCCCCCCCCAAACAGGTTTCCCGCACCAGATATTTAGCCCACACCATTGCTAGCTCCTCCCAACCTCTTTAACTCTCCCTACACGACAGCCCAATATACTTTTTTAAAGAGACGACGTGACCTTTCTTAACTACAAAGACCAGTGCCAGACAGATGAAAAATGGGAAGGGGAGGTGGAACCAACAGGGCATGGTTAGTCTGAAACTGGGATAGGCACTGGAGATGGCGGGACAGGTCGTAGAATATACAGAAATAATCAATAGTGGCACATCAATGGCCCGCCTAGACTACGGGACAGAAGAAGAAGAAGACGATGAAGAAGACGATGAAGAAGACGATGAAGAAGACGATAAAGAAGACGATGAAGAAGACGATGAAGCAGACGATGAAGAAGACGATGAAGAAGACGATGAAGAAGACGATGAAGCAGACGATGAAGAAGACGATGAAGAAGACGATGAAGAAGACGATGAAGAAGACGATGAAGAAGACGATGAAGAAGACGATGAAGAAGACGATGAAGAAGACGATGAAGAAGACGATGAAGAGGACGGTGAAGAAGACGATGAAGAAGACGATGAAGAAGACGATAAAGAAGACGATGAAGAAGACAATGAAGCGAACTTTACTTGAGGCCTCGTAGACACAGATGTGTTTGTCTGTGATGATCTGGCCAGACAGGATCCACTTAGACAGGCACTCGGAGCGGCTGATCTTGGTCATGTTGGCCTCCTTCAAGACCTCGGCCACTCGGCCACCGCCCACCACACGGCCCCAGCCGGTGATGACGCACATGGTGTTGGCGAAGGAGGAGCCCTTGGGGGCCAGGGTGGCGGGCTGGGGAAGATGACGTCATCGTTTAATTACATGAACACTTTATTGTAGTCCAATGAGTAGCCTACAATGAATCGCTTTATTTGTTGTCTTATTGCTTCTTAACTGCTCGTGCAAGTTTTACGTTAATATCCCTAAAATTTACTTAACTTCTCGTTCAAGTTTTACGCCTGATATCCCTAAAATTTACTTAACTGCTCGTTCAAGTTTTACGCTAATATCCCTAAAATTTACTTAACTTCTCGTTGAAATAATGACCCAAGTGCTTTTCTTAATGAACTTTCAATTTTACACCAATGTCGCTTAAGATTTCTTACCTGGACTTTCATTTGTACGTCTTTGTGTCCTATTTTTCTTACCTGGACGTTCAATGTTTTCTACCTGGACGGTTAGGTTGTACGTTACGGTGTCCAATTTGTTCTGACCTGGACGTTCAAATAGTACGTCATAGCCTCTAAAGTAAACCCACCTGGACGTACAAATTGTACGTCAGTCTCTAAAATTCACCTACCTGGACGTTCAGGTTGTACGTCATAGCCTCTAGACGTATTTGGACGTATACATTGTACGTTATAGCATCTAAACATATCTGGACGTCCAAATTGTACGTCATAGCCTCTAAAATTGACCTACCTGGACGTACAAATTGTACGTCATAGCCTCTAAAATTGACCTACCTGGACGTACAAATTGTACGTCATCTATATACTACTAAAACTCAACTTTGTTTACATGTTTGAATATTTATTTGTTTGCCTGATCGAAAATTGTGATATGTTCGACTCTATCTGGAAAGCTGTAAAATGGTATGCAGGTAGAGAATAATTTTTTAATGCAGACAGACTGTTGATCACAAATTTATTTAAAGACGTTAATTAATTTATTGATTTATTCATAGTTAAATTAACCGTATTTTTTTTAAAATGTTAATACTTTGAATAAACTTTGTGGGGATAGTGACGTCCCTTGATAGTGACGTCAGAGTTTTTTGTTGACTCTTTCGTACAATAAAATGGCGGCGTCTATCGAAGAAAATTGTGTTCCCATTCCAAAGTTTAACGCGTTCTAAATCTAATTTTCTGTCGGTCATAACTTTAACAATACGTCCGTTTGCTGTATTTATTACGTTCCAACACTTATATCAATTTTCAACTGTCTTTTTTCATTTAGTTTTACAATAAATTTCTCTAGATCTAAAGATCAGCTGTCGAAGGAAATTTATGAATCTAGCCTAGATCTAGATCTAGGTCACTAAACTCAATGTAAATTCTAAATCTAGACTTAATGTAAATTCTACATCTAGAATCTATTTCAGGCCTTAATACATCTAGAATCTATTTCAGGCCTTAATTATTTTATATAAATCTTTGTTTGGCTAATTTAAGATAAAATTTAATTTGAAAGTTACTACTTCTAGACTAGACGCTCGAAATCAAGTTGCATCAAAGTATAGTATAAAAATTCATTTGTGACGTCACGAGTAAATAGCTAAGTTTGTAGCGTAGTCCGCTCTCATGCGAGTGGTACAGGTTCTAGACCAATATGTCAATGATATTTTTTTTCAATTTTTTTTTTTAGATGTTAATGATAAAAAATGATATTTTTTTTCAATTTTTATCTGAACTTGGCAGGATACAGGGCAGGTGAAGTAGAGTTCATCTGTTTCTTTGTCCTAACCATATGAAAGGATAGTGTGGTCAGAGACATGCTCGGCTGGAATCGTTTTTTAAACGATAAAAACATGTTGTCTGAGACTTGGAGGGACACTGGGCAGGTGAAGTAGAGTTGAGTAGGTCACATGTGACGTCAGTATATGAAGGGATAGTCCGAAATCGGTGTTTTCGGTGTTTTTAAAAGATAAGAAACATATTTTTGAATGTGGGCTCTGTTTTTGTGACGATAAGTGACACTGCAGTAGCGTAGCGAGGAGGGGGGGGGGGGGCGGGTGGGGAGGAGGGGGGGGGGGGGGGGAAGGGGAGGCGGGGGGGGGGGGAAGGGGAGGCGGGGGGGGGGGGAAGGGGAGGCGTGGGGGGGGATGGGGGGGGGCGGGGGGACGTATGTTGGGGCGCCAAAATGGTTTGGAAAAATAAATTGAAAGGTTGAGGGGGGTTCAAATCGAAAGTTTGAGTGGGGGGGGGGGAGGGGGTGCACATCAAAAGTTTGAGGGGGGGGGGTTGAAAATCGAAATCTTGGGGGGGGGGGGGGGGTTAAAATCGAAAAGTTTGTCCCCGGGCGCCGGGAAGGCTCGCTATGCCTCTGAGTGACAGACGTGATGTTTTTTGATGGATGACCCCCGAAACCCACAGTTATCCAAGGGATGACGGGTATTCTAGTAGCCTCTAAAATTGACCTACCTGGACGTACAAATTGTACGTCATAGCCTCTAAAATTGACCTACCTGGACGTACAAATTGTAAGTCATAGCCTCTAAAATTGACCTACCTGGACGTACAAATTGTACGTCATAGCCTCTAAAATTGACCTACCTGAACGTTCAGGTTGTACGTCATGGTGCCGTAGATGTAGATGACAGCGATGTCGTTGGGGATGCCGTTGCCGTTGGGGTTGTACCCGGAGTGGATGACGAACGAGGCGACCTCTAGCGTCTGCTCGTAGGGTGTGGTGTCGCTGATGTTGTAGGACCCGACCTTGACCCTCAGGTTACGGGCTTGCTGACCGTCGACACAGTGGGCAGCGGTCAAGATCTAGACAACCAATAGAATAATCTTTTACAAATATTACAGTGGGCAGGGGTCAAGATCTGGACAACCAACAGAATAATCTTTTACAGGTCGTGCAGTGAGCAGCGGTCAAGATCTGGACAACCAACAGAATAATCTTTTACAGGTCGTACAGTGAGCAGCGGTCAAGATCTGGACAACCAACAGAATAATCTTTTACAGGTCGTACAGTGAGCAGCGGTCAAGATCTAGACAACCAATAGAACGATCTTTTACAAATCTTATGATGGGCAGCGGTCAAGATCTGGACAACCAACAGAATAAACTTTTACAGGCCGTACAGTGGGCAGCGGTCAAGATCTAGACAACCAATAGAACGATCTTTTACAAATCTTATGATGGGCAGCGGTCAAGATCTGGACAACCAACAGAATAAACTTTTACAGGCCGTACAGTGGGCAGCGGTCAAGATCTGGATAACCAACAAAACGATATTTTACAAGTCTTGTTTTTAATATTCTAGTTTGTAGCCAATCCTACATTATCACTGAAGATCTGTATAGACAAAATGTTTACACAAATGTTTGTTTTAAGTAGCTATTGAATAAGGATTTGTAACTATAGGACGCATTCGTCCAAACTGTCATTAAGATACAGAAAAGTATTGTCCATTTGCTCATGTCAGGCGTATATAAGTGTACACAACCGCGTTCCGTAATTAGAAAAGTAAACAGAATGTAAAGAGGGAAAGAATTATGGAAATTACTGGCCATAATATACTGGGATGAAAAGTCTGAAATTATATTTTATTAATCATTTAGGGTTTATTATATAAATATTAATTACATTTTTGGATCTCTGTTCGTTGTTTAAAGGTAATTTCCATTTTAAAAAATCAGTTAATAACTTGTAAATCATTCACGGTGTAATTAATGCAAGCTAAAGAGTTAATAATTAATTAAAGCCAGATAATTACAATTAAAAGGTTTTAAAGTTGATTAAGTTATTTGATTTGGTCTATGACAGACTACATGAAAAACTTTGAAAATTAAATTTTTTTGTGGAACTGCGAAGTTTTCGGTAACTAGACGGATCACCTTGTTGGGGGCGACAATGACACAGCCGCAGATGTGGTACCAGCCGTAGGGGGCGTTGTACAGCTGGAGCGAGCCCTGGTGGGGGTAGGCGTACAAGGCAGCCATACCGCCGTTGACAATTCGCTTCTCCATCTCCTCATCCTGGGCCGTGCTGAGGGCTGAAAGTTCCAGAACACGAGAGATTATGTTGGAAAAATATTTAAAGAACAAGGGGCTGGGGGGGGGGGGATGTTGGGGTGCAAGTGAGTGGGGGGTGGGGCATGGGTGAGAAATGAAGATTATATGATTACTAGCTTATACCCGTGCTTCGCCACGGTATGGATATGGATATTATCTCAGAGTCCCCGAATTGGGGCGGATATTTTTTTTAGTGCGCTGCGCGGGTGTCGATATCCTCGGAGTGTACTGCGCTTCGCTACGGATATTACGTCATTGTGCTGATATTCCTTCAGCGCATCGCAGCTGCGCGCGGGTGTCGGTAGCCCTTTGGTGCGATTATGGATATTCGCAGAAATTAAATTACGGTAAAAAAAAAATTGAGAGCTAATGCTCTCACGTACGTCCGCCCAGACATCTCTCCTCCCCGAGCCCAAGGCGTAATTTAAACCGCCGCCGAACAACACGTTTTCCCGGCCGTCCGCGCCCATGGAGAGACTTCCAAAATCTATAGCGATGACGGAATGACTGACACACTATCACCAGCGTTATTTTATAGATTGACACCAATAGTTATGTGAAAGTACCACTGCTTATTCCGGGAAAAAAAATAATAATATTGACATGATTTGTTTTTAGAAAGTTTAGCCACGTTCTTCCCCCACCCACCCCCTGGAAAAACTGTCTGAAAGAAACCCGGAATGGCACAGTGCCAGTACCTAACTATGACGTCACTCACCCAGCAGTGAGAGAACAACAGCGAGGAACATCATCCTGATGGTAGCGGTGCTTCTATCAGACCGCTGGACCATAATCATTTGGTCGTTTTTATACAGGAGGCCATCATAAAACAATCAAACACTAGACCATCGGGAACACGACATCTTGTCATGACGTCATAGGTGCTCGTGGGCATTCGGCGTTTAATGTTTGTAAACATGTCGTGTTTATGTTTGTTTACCCTTTTGTGTTTAATGTGAACAATGTGTTTAGTTGTGTAAACACACTGCGTTTAATGAATGCGGACATAAATTTTGTGTACATGTAAAATCATTCCAACATCGTGATGTTTCTTCTACAGCTGCATGCCCCCCCCCCCCCCCCCCCCCCCCCACATACACACACACAACCTCCGCGTCGTACAACATCCGGTCAAAAACTACCAACAGCCGGCATGTGCTACAGATCACATCCGTCAAAAAACTGGGCGTGGCCTGTGTCACGGAATAAAAATGGCGACCGCCCATGAGCACACAAAAGCTCAACACAGTGTAAATACTTGCATTTGAACCAGAACAAGACTTTTAAGAGTAAGAATAAGACGATGTACGAAGTGAAAAAATAGCCTGCTTGGTGACTGAATTTACAAGCTTTATTTGTTTTTCGACTACCGGATTTATGTTGTCCAGAGTATACAATTGTTGCATTTGGCTTGCCAGGCTTTGTTTTAATCATCTAGTAATTGCCATATTAGTTCAACAATAAATAATTATAGTTACGTAATTAAATTAAATTATAACCACAAATAAGTAATTAAACAAATTATGAGTTCTTTATCTGAATCGTTCGTAGCCTGAATCCACCCAACATTCTCATTGTTTACTTGTTTTTAGTAGTGTATGAGCGAGTCAGCATGTCGATTCGCGTTGGGGTCGGGGTTCACACAAGTTGAGAATCCTTGATGTCTAATTAACCCTTGGGAGGCTGCCCGGTGTTTTGTACACCAGCAGCAATAAAAACATCAGCCACTTGCGTGATCTCAGGGTTAAGGGCTGTTCAACAAGATATGGGGGGGGGGGGGGGGGAGATGACTTACGTGAGCCCACACCCTCATATATTATGTTATTATGGTGGTCAATTTAACTTGACTTTCTTTCCCCCCTGATTTAAAGCCTTTTTAAAAAAAAATATCATTTCCAGCTTATTTAAAGCTAATTTTTATTTTATTTTTTTATTTTTTTAAATTTTTATTCTTACACAGCAGCTGTTGATTTTGGTCCACCCCGGGTATTTTATTTCCCCGGTACCCACCTACTTGACGGGCGTTCCCTTATCCACCGCCCGGGGGAGGCGCTCGGTGGAAAATCAACACAAACTCCACACGAGATCATATTTATATAGGCCTGTAATTTATTTACTTCTTTTTAGTGCATTACTATATAAAAGCTTTTCTATTTAAACTTTTTTTTTATGAAAGTTTTAAAAATTCGATCAACACGCGGCCCCTAATCATTGAAAATTGGGTGTCGCGGTCAGCCCTATGTACAGTTGATCTAGACATCGACTAGGCTGAGTTCATAATTTGCGTTTTGCCAAGGATACTGTCCCACCCTTTTTTAACAGTGAGCGATAGCATATCCTAACTTGTAAGGGGTCTCCCTGACATATTATTCATTTCACAAGACAGGGTAAAACCCTGAATGGAGACGTGAACTTCTATCTCCTGGGATTTCCTCTTATATAGACCTTCCGCAGCCACAAGTAACAACTAAAGAAACCCTCGATATTTACCGACAGATCTGTAGTAGCCTTTGTGGAATTGGAGAATCTGTTCTTGTAAGAATTCCTGCCTGGCCAGATCTCAGACGTGATGCCTGGACTGGCCATGGCAGGACGCCTTACCAGGATATTAATAACCAATCGAAGTCACAGGTGAACTAACGACCCAAGGCACTGATCTAACAGGAAAACGCCGAAATTCTTCTGCTCGCTGGCCTAGAAAAGATGTATCACTTCCGGTGAATCTCTACAGCAGGTTGGAGCAGAGTCAAATACCTGTAGCTGTTATTGGTAGGCCACTGGACGTCGACTTTTAACATGTCTTGCTTGATACTTGTAGCCTAGGCTAGCTAATAGCAAGTGAGATAATTAAAAACGCGTCATAAAATGATAAATTGACCACAATTTATACTAATTGGATATTGGACAAGAAGCCTTAGGTTAACTAGGCTACACCTATTTAGAGACTAGCAGATTTACGTTTGAATTCGCTATAAGACCTTATGGCTCGAACTTACGAGAAGACATTGTCCTTGGCATTCGTGTACATTATTTTTATTTCCTGTTTTATTTTTACAATCAGAAGATCAAGAACAACTTTCCCAAACAATAACATTCGATCTATTAAGTCCAAACAAGCCTACTACAATAATGTACACAATTTGCGGCTTGCCTACAGTCCCGTTGTTTTCTTTGAAAACAAGTGTCAAAACATTTTAGCATAAATTCATCGATATTAGTGTTAGGACTAGAGCTAGGGCTAGTGTCAGGGATAGGGTTATGGTTAGGGTTAGTCAGGGAATATAATAGTAATAATGTTTATCAGATTTCGAAATTGAAATGAATGGAGAATAGTCTCAACATTATTCGAAAGGCCCACTAAATACTGTGATAATCCTGAACGATTTTAATTTAAAAAAATATGGTTATAAAAATCTGTTTGATTTTTGTTGGACTTAACTAAAGACAAAAATATTAATCACGAGGAAGCAAGTTAAATAAAAGCTTGTAAAAATATGATGTTATATCACTTTTTGTGCGCTATTCTTTTTTTCTACACAATTTTATTCTATTTAAAGTGTTAAATAGTGCGGAAAATTAGTGCAAACAACGCAGTATTTAACTTCCGTTTTCGAAAAACCTTCCAGAAAACTGTGTATTCCCGATGTTTTCAACAAAACATTCTAAAATTGTTTTCTTTTAACTGGAAACGTAAGTGATTTGTTTCCCCTATCTCTTGTTCATTTCAGCAAATATTAAATTAGAATCATCTTGGAATTTTCTTCATACACAAGAAAGTTGTCTCCAAGATTTTGATGATGAAAATTTGTATATCGGTTTCTAGGGTATTGGAAGTAGAGTTCGTCTATCTCAGTGACCACGGCAAACGTAGTAGATCTAGTACTCACTGTAAACTAGCACTCCAGCACAAGAAAATACTAGATCTAGAAATGTGCATTGAATCCCTCTCCACCCCTCCTCAGCCCCCATTCCAATCCCTCTCCGCCCCTCCCCACCCCCATTCCAATCCCTCTCCGCCACTCCCCACCCATCCATTCCAATCCCTCTCCGCCCCTCCCCACCCCCATTCCAATCCCTCTCCACCACTCCCCACCCATCCATTCCAATCCCTCTCCGCCCCTCCCCACCCCCATTCCAATCCCTCTCCACCACTCCCCACCCCCCCCCCCCATTCCAATCCCTCTCCACCCCTCCCCACGCCCATTCCAATCCCTCTCCACCCCTCCCCACCCCCCATTCCAATCCCTCTCCACCCGTCACCACCCACCAAGCCGAGCCGATACGATGAAGGTTAATCTAGTTGGCTGCCTAGGCCTACTAACTCATTTTAATTGATCGGACGTATCAAATCTTTACTTTATAATACATCGGCTGGACGATTTTGATATTTTTGCTAGAATCACAGTCCTAATCCTAGCCCTTACCATACCCATTAAGCCTCTACGGCGGTGGATACTGGGAAAAATCCCGGTTGACCGCCAAGAATGGTGTGGTAATACAAGAAAAAAGATGGCGTTTACTAGTCATAATTGAACACCCTAGTTCACCCACGGGCGCCTACCGTAATCCTGACCCTGACTGTGATACTGTCAGGGGAAAAAACCCTCGAGATAAATACTGTGTTGTCCAGGACTAGGGGTGTGTGGATGGTATGTGGATGTGTGTGGATGTGTGTGGATGTGTGTGGATGGTATGTGGATGTGTGTGGAAGTGTGTGGATGTGTGGGGATGGTATGTGGATGCGTGTGGATGATGTGGGGATGGTATGTGGATGATGTGTGGATGGTATGTGGATGTGTGTGGATTGTATGTGGATGTGTGTGGATGGTATGTGGTTGTGTGTGGCTGATATAAGGCTGATATGTGGATGTGTGTGGATGGTATGTGGATGTGTGTGGATGGTATGTGATGTGTGTGGATGGTATGTGGATATGTGTGGATGGTATGTGGATGTGTGTGTATTGTATGTGGATGTGTGTGGATGTGTTTGGGTGTGTGGGGATGTGTGTGGATGGTATGTGGATGTGAGTGGATGGTATTTTAATGTGTGTGGATGATTTGTGGATGTGTGTGGATGGTATGTGGATGTGTGTGGATGGTATGTGGATGTGTGTGGATGGTATGTGGATGTGTGTGGATGGTATGTGGATGTTTGTGGATGATATGTAAATGTGTGTGTCCGGCATGGGAATGTTTGTGGATGATATATGGATTTGTATGGCTGATATGTGGATGTGTGGCTTTATTTGAAACATTGTTGAGCCTCCAATGAAACTTGTGATGGGGTAGCATGTACTGCTAACCTTGAAGTCTGCTGGCCCACTGAACCTGAACTCCATGTTTCATATGTTGATAATGTGATACCAAGATATACATTTGAAGTAAAAAAGGGATTTATACCTATCGTGACAAGAATTCAAAACCAAGCTTGAATATAGGCGAATGATAGAGAGAGCTCTCAATTAGGGATTTAAAAAGTAAAATTCCCTTTACTCTCTTTACGGTCCATAAGGCAAGTGAAGTAGAGTTAACTTGTTACCTCGGCATATGAAGAGATAGTGAGGTCAGCACTATGCCCAGCCGCCTTTACTTTCCCTAGAGCTGGGTGGATTGAGGGACTTGAACCCGGATGCAAACTCGACTAACGGGTTAGCAGTCCAGCTCTCTACCGCTAGACCAATCCGTCCCTAACTATGGATTACATTAAAGAAATATCACCTCAAGACGTGGTCGTAGAGACAAGGTGTTCACTTCAACCTCACAACCTGAACACAAGTTGATGAATCAAAGGAAGA